TCCCCACCCGCCCCCGTTTCCTTATCCCGCTTCTCCTTACGGGCTGCGTCTGGCAGAAAGATATCGGCTTGCCGGGATCAGGGAACAATTCCGGTGCACAGGAGTGGTGCCGAATGGGCCCGCCCACGCTCGCTGCAGAGGTGGAGTGTGGTATGTGTCTCTCCCAGCAACCGGCCCGGCGCTCTGACAGGGGCTCTTATTCTCCGTGCTCCGGCAGGATGGGGGCGCGCTCCGCTAATAGGCCACCCCTCCCTCCCTCTTTCTCTCTCTTTTTCTCTCTCCCTCCCTCCCTGTCTCTCTCTCTCCTCCTCCCTCCTTCTCGTCTTTCCTCCTTGCCGGGTTTCCCTTGTCTATCTCACTGGCCCTCTGTCCCACGCAGGTATGGCAGCAGCAACTATACCCAGGACCCTTGGGGAGCTGCAGCTCTACCGCATCCTGCAGAGGGCCAACCTGCTGTGCTACTACGAGGCCTTCATCCAGCAGGGCGGCGACGACGTGCAGCAGCTGTGCGAAGCTGGCGAGGACGAGTTCCTGGAGATCATGGCGCTGGTGGGCATGGCTAGCAAGCCGCTGCACGTGCGGCGCCTGCAGAAGGCACTGCGCGACTGGGTCACCAACCCAGCGCTCTTCAACCAGCCGCTGGCATCGCTGCCCGTCTGCAGCATCCCTGTCTATAAGCTGCCCGAGGGCTCACCGCACGCCAAGGTGCCCAAGTGCGCGGCGGTCGGTGGCGCTGACGTGGGCAAGCCGGACGCCGCCGGCACGTCGCCCCTGCAGGGTGGCAGTGAACCCCGCTTCTGGGCTAGCTCTGGTGGTGACAGCGAGCCCAGCCTGTCCCCGGCGGAACAGGGCTCGCCGGCCTCCCCGCGCGACGGCCTGGAGGCGCTGGATGCGGCGGCCGTGCGCTCGGTGGCGGAGTGTGTGGAGCGCATGGTGCAGGCGCTGCCCCGCAGTGATGCCACTGCCGACATCAGGGAACAGCTCAAGTGCAACAAGAAGCTGGCCAAGATGATTGGGCACATCTTTGACATGGCCGAGGAGGACCCGCGTCGTGAGGAGGAGGTGCGCAAGTACAGCGCCATCTACGGGCGCTTTGACTCCAAGCGCAAGGATGGCAAGCACCTGACGTTGCACGAGGTACACCAGCAGTCCGGGTAGTGGGTTCGAGAGAGAAAACAAATGAATGTATGAATGAGTGAGTCAGGAAAAGAGTCAGCGGGTAAGCAAGTGAGTGAGTGAGTAAACAGGAGCGAATGAATGAGTCAGTGAATGAGTGAGTGATTAAACGGATGAGTGAGTGGTGTGAGCAAATGAATGAGTTAGGGAATCAGTGAGTGAATGGGTAATGTGTGATGTGTGATTAAATGAGTGAGTGAGTGAGTGAGTGAGGGAATGAGTGAGTGAGTGAGTGAGTGAGGAAGGGTGCCATCAAAGGTGAGCATGTGGTTCTGACCCAGGATGACTGTGTAGCATGATACCTGTGGCAGTGTCAGGGTTCTGTGAAGACTCACCAATTCAGCAAGACACCAAACCCTAGGGGCACATTTCTGACCCCCAGCCTCCCCCCTCCCCACAGCTGACCGTGAACGAAGCGGCTGCGCAGTTGTGCATGCGGGACATGGTGCTGCTGACGCGCAGAGACGAGCTCTTCGGGCTGGCACGCCAGATCTCCCGCGAGGTCACCTACAAGTACACCTACCGCACCAGCAAGTAAGCTCTGCCCCCCCAGCCTGACCCCGCCACCCAGTACCTCCCCACCCTTGAGATCGTGCTCATGTCATGTCCACATCCTTTGATTTTCCGATGTCTCATGCCAGTAAATACGTGGCAAAGGTTTGTTTTTCCGTTGCCTCTCTAGTGGAACAAACTGTGACAGCCGATAATGAGGCATGAAGGATCTAGAACAGAGAACGGGGTCTCCGGTCAAACCGCTCTGACAGCAATCCTCCTGTAGCCAACAGATAGTCAGTAAATCACTTACAAACGTTCCTCTTCTGAGACAATAATAATGGCATAATTGTTTCAAGTGCTTAAGTTTGCATTGTTCTAGTACCAGTTGCTTTTCTCTGTCAAAGGTGATTCATTTGAATCGCACCTGGACTCCTCGGTCTGAAACAAATTGTCTCTCAAGTTTGGGCCTCTGTTTCGTTTCATTATTTTGCACCCATTTTATTATTGCACCCCCATACAGTTTCATTCAGAAAAAAATGTTCTTTTAGTGTTCTTTTTTTTTTGGGAGATTTTCTGTGAAAGTACTTACCACTAGAGAGACTGGTCATTTCTGCAGTACTGGTCCTCTGTGGCTTTTCCATGCTCCGTCACCTGAGGGCAAAAAAGGACCCAACTACCCCCGTTTCTGCCACAGCACTCAGCCATTAAGATATCTCATGGTAAAACTTTTTTTTTTTTTTGAAAGCCAGAGGAATCTTCTAGTAGAAAAGCTAAACATAGCAGCTGAAACATGATGTGAAAAGCTGAGTTGAGTTCTGCTCATGGTCCATTTCTAAGCCCGCTCCTGTGGTATTTCAGGTTGCTTCTGGGGCACCAGCACCATGAGCGGTGGGTAACGTTTGAGTCGCCACCCTCACAATAGTGATGCTGACCTGCTCCTTCCAGTGTTTTATGGCTTTACTGGCAGCCGATGTCTCTAAATTGCCATGGCTGGGTGTTGAGTGTTTTAGTCTTGGGATCATTCCTTTGGTTGTTGTTGTTTTCTTGCCGACTAGCGTGATGCGTCGTGCTTTATGATGACAGGGTTACGTGTTACGATGAGACGGACGAGGGTCTCATTGTGCACCTGTATCTGCCCCGTTTTATTTTCCTACTTGTTTCACCGACAGAGGATTAACAGTGAGTCTCTCTCTCCCGCAGATCTCGGTGCGGAGAAAAGGACGAACCCTCCCCTAAGAGGATAAAGACAGAGGTAGGTGGGCTGGGTCTTTTGTTCCGCAGTGTGTGGAGGGCATAACTTTGGTAGCACTGCTGTAGAAGCCTTTAGAAGTACAAGGAGGTTTGCTTAGTGCAAAGGGACACTTTGAGCATTTGGTCCAGATCTAATCTTTCAGTGGTTGTAGAAGCCCTCGGCAACCCCATTCGTTATGCATTTCGGCCTCCTGGTTGCAATTGACAGGCATGACCGAACCTTCCGGAAGCGCATGGCACCCAAACCGGAGGTGTTGGACACTCGTGACCGCAAAAGCTACTGTGTTTGGTCGGGGGTTCTCCAATGGTGGGGTCTTAGGGGCCCGTTGGCAAAAAACGTTTAAGTGCAAGAGGAAAACAGCGGAAGTGGATGTTGAAGGATGCGGGGCAGGGCAGGGTAGGGTGGGGATGACCTTTGTTGTTTGAATAGCTGCTTCTCATCGGCCCCGGGGTACGTGGGCGGGGTGACTGGGAGGACGTCCCCCAAGGCAGCCTGTGTACAGGGAGGTGGAGTGCTTCTCCCTTCTCCAGCGGGATGGAAGGCTGTAGGCCTCACAGGACGTGACGTGGTATCTCCACACCCTGCCATGGCTTATGGGGTGGCTCACCTGACCAGTTATTATGTCTTTGATATGATCCGTGGAGCTTTATCTGCTCTGCATCACGCTTGATGTTCCTCCTGTGAAGAAGCCTTTTGTCTTCATGTTGTTGCTGGCAGTTGTCCGCTGACCCTCTTCACTGGCAACATATTTGAGTGGCTGCCAGACATCTGATCTGTGTCTTCTGGAAACTCCCTCCGTCCCACGGTCGCTGTCCAGACCCCACGGACGACCCGGGGCGAGCTGGGGTTCACGACACCCCCCACCCCACCCCCAGTCACTCTGACGCAGACGCGAGGCGGTTGGAAACTTTGGTTTTCTTCTTAACCACGCAAGCCTGTGTGGCCGCTTTATTAAGTGATAAACGCCCAGTGCCCCCCCCCCCCCCCCACAGTTTTTCGAGTGTGGCAGCCCTAACAAGCTTGAAGTTTTGCGTAGATCATCCTAATCGTTTATGCCACAGTCTCGCGCTACTATCCCTGCACTTCCATCAGTAAGGGTCTTTGACTTGTCATGAAGGTGGGCTGAATGTACATCCCCCATCAGGCCTCAGTGTCTATGCCCCTCCCTCCCCCCACCCCAGAAAAACCCCCCTCGCTCACATCATTAAGAATTAGCCGCCCACCCACGTTCATGGCGATAAGCTTGACTGAGATCAATCACACGCCTACCCATAGTCCTGAGGTGCTTCTGACATCATCGGGTAGGCGTGCTTGGAATCACCCACGCCCATACTCAGCAGCCATGAAAGGCACTGCCGCTGGGAGATTGCACGCCCGCTTACGCACAAGAGTGAGCTGCCGGACGCCCGCCCGCTTACGCTAGTGCCACCAGGGGGCGGGGACAAGACAGGGGAAGCAATGGCCGGGGGCACCGGCTCAAGGGCGTGGCCCTGTGACGCCAACGCCCCCTTGACGGGCCCGACCAGTCCCCAAGGGCTGCTAATGTGAGCACAGGTCCTTTTGTTTACCGGTACCTTCCATCTGACTCATCCCTGCTGCACGCATTAATGTTAAACTTTGAGGTCCTTGCTGCCATCCTTCTGGGCTTTGTGATGCGTTGGCGGTTAAAGTGGCGTTAAATGTCAAGCGTAAGGAAGGCACAGAGCCCAGGGGACGTGGCCAAGGGCGGAGGACTGAAATCCCTGGCTTAACGTGCATGAAGTGAGTGCGGTCACGCCCCTTTAAAAAAAGCGCCTTTCCCTTTGTACATGTCAGATGGATGGTCTGGGGCCTTTTTCCCATCTCTCTCGTCATGCTCTTCAATGTGGAAGTAGGTCAAGTCTGCGTTAGCGATCTGCAGGAGGCCTGATAGAGGGCGCTAGAGGTCAGGTCTGCGTTAGCAATATGCAGGAGGCCTGATAGAGGGCGCTAGAGGTCAGGTCTGTTAGCAGTCCGCAGAAGGTCTTACACATGGACACTAGAACTCGGGTCTGAGTTAGCAATCCACAGAAGGCTGCATAGAGGACTTTAGCAAAGGTCATGTCTGAATTAGTGAGCTGAAAGGCTTACGATGTCCCTAAGAATGTGACATGTAAGAGGTCTCCTTCATCTCTGCATGCTAATGTGCTAAGTGCCATTTCCTGTTTGTCCTCAGGAACAAGGCTTCTTTGATCTCCAGGAGGCGCTGCGTGCAATTCACATACGGCAGGAGACGCTGAGGGAGCAGCTGGCTCTTGCCAAGTCCAAAGGAGAGGAGGCTGTGGTGCGAAGCATCCAGGTACCTAAACTGCTCAGGTCCCCGGGGAAAGGCGTCCGTTCATCTGCCTGTCTGCTTGTTCCGGGGCCTCAGCCCAGCCGTGTTGCGGCGTGGCGCGCTGGGGCGGTCCACAGGGGCGCGTCCCTGTCCCCTGTGCCAGTCCCATCTGAGTCACAGATTAGGCCTGACGGGAAATAAGGGCTCAGAATAACTGGGGGCATGAGTCACCCCGGTGACGGGCAGCTGTAGGGGCTTAGCGGGGAGCGGGTCCCACCCCTCAGGCCCCCGCGGGTCCCCAAGCCGACAGCCTGCCATCAGCTGCTCATCTCAGAGCTGGGTGCGAATTAAGATCAGGGTGATGTGACAGCAGGAGACAGAGGCAGCTTTGAATCGAACGTGAGGGATTCTGGAGTGTAATATCTGTGTGGATGGGTGGGTTAGTGCCCGTGATCGATTCAAGTCCCATGGTTGGTACGGTTTCACCATTGGGCCGCTGACCCCAAACCCCAGATTGCTCCAAGTGCAGGTTGTCCCTGATTTCACAAAAATGCCCGTTTTGGACAGAAACATCTGCTAAATAAATAAAAAATATGTAATTTCCCACCGATTTCCGGGCAGAGATTGATTTTGCTGCAATTACGGAATGTCTAATGATGCAGGACTCGTGGAGTTTTCCTCCTTGATCTTGATCAGACTAAACAGGAAGAAGTCGGTATGCTGAAATGAATCTTTCATGGCAGGAATTTAAACACGAGCAAGCAATGGCCCATCAAGGCCGTCCGAGGCCTAGATAATCAGCACAGGGGGTGCAGCAGCATATCGCGGTGTGTGGCTCTGTGCGTGTCCAGCATTGTGTGCGTATGTGGCGGTGGACCAGTCAGCCAGCAGTGGCCTGTATCGGCCTCAAACATTAGCACCGTCTGTCACATAGCCGGTGGAGAGACAGACACTTCGTGTGGCCCTTTGTCTGAGAGGATCTCCCTGTGGAGACATAGGGGATATGACAGCGAGAGGCCGGACGTGTTAAACCAGAAGTTCTCAGCTGACCTAGCTTGAGGATCCAAAATGTTCCTAAATTAAGCATCAGTCAGATTTGTGGGAGGGGGGGCTGGTAATATATATACACTTTTTTATAGTTGGGAACCACCAGTACAGAAACACTGCCTTAAAGCCGGTGTGTTTCATGGTGTAAACTGTCTGTGTGGGTGTGGCTCTCAGTGTGTGTGTGTCTGTGTTTCTAAGTGTGTGACCTCCATGCCCCCCCGCCTCCCCCCCCAGGTGCAGCTGGAGTGCCTCCTCTCCAGGCAGAAGGAGATGCTCCACGAGGAAGCAGCACAGGAGCGGCTGCAGGTGCTGGACTGGAGGCTGCCGACGCTGCCTTTCAAGCAGAGCAGCAACGGGCTCTCGGCGGAGAAGGGAGTCAGGCTGGCAGGTAGGGCCCTCCGCCACCCCCAGCCCACGTCAGCCGTCTCGAGAGGCGACCGTTAGCCGTCTGTCGTCACAGTTTTGGAAAAAGTGGCCACATTGGGCACTGGCAGTCATCCTGAAACAGGGGGTGGGGGCACGGCGTGGGCGTTGGAGGGAGCGCGCTGGCGGGGGCGGTTAGCGCCTTGCCGGCTGCCGCCTTCCTCTCTCTGCGCTTTCATTTCTGGGCCTGGCGACAGCTGTGCACAGTCTCTCGCGGTGGGTGGGAGGGCGCTGAGGGCGGCTCTCGCGTCCCATAATGCACCACGCAGAGTGAAAGTGCGCCAGGCGTGGAGCTGTCGATCTTGACGTGAATGGAGACCCCCCTCCCCCCCAACGCGTGACGCAGTAACTTTCGATGTTTTGGTCACACTTGGTCGAAAATGATATCACAGTGGTGTGTTTGCGCACTGCCATGTCAGACGGAAACATTCGGGACTAAACAGTACCACATGTCATTTTTGACTGATTGTCAATTTAATGGTTTGCGTGTTTTTGCACCTGCAAGGAGCAGATTATAAACAGGCAACTAAAACGCTGAAAAATTTTGTATAATTTTTCTTAGAAATAAAAAAGCAGCATCTTAAACATGAGAAAGATCTGGTGATTTTTCTCGATTTCAGCCATTACATCAGCAGAAGATGAGCTTTCAAATCCAGCGAGATTGTGAGCTTCTTAAGGTGGTCTGTTGATCCCTGTCAGACTCTGCACTGGTACCTGCTGTGCATCTGACGTCAGCCACCTTAAGCTTAGTGGTCGTTTGTGGCGGTCCGTCACCTGACGCCCCGCGGGAAAAGAACCCGCCTCGGGCTGCAGTAACAGAAGGCGGATCGGGCAGAAAGTGCCCTTGGCGCAGACCCGAATCCCGGATGCTGGCCGTCGTTCTGCTTTAGTACAGCTCGTCTGAGGGTTCTGGGACAGTGAGGCCCACTGACCCGGGGAATCATGCGTTTTCTGTGCCAACGCAACCCAGGTTTGGCACCTCTCCAGGGGCAGATCAGCGTTCTGGGTTCACCCAGAGTGTGCGCTTTGATGTGCGCGGGCCAGCAGTGCACCTGATGTGGTGCTTAAATAGCCGCATTACTCATTTGTCACTGTGTGTAGTGACACCTCACCAAGAAGTCATCATTAAGTGCCACCCAGGCATGTAATACCTACTAAATTCTCCCATAATGCCTTTCAGCAACTCAGCATGTGGTCAGTGCTGAAACTGTGGTGAGAGTGCCCCCCAACTTAAGCGAGGCGTTGTAGGGGGGGGGCACAGGGGGCAGCATCTGACTCTCCGTAGACTGGCGAGGGTGTCAGTGGCTGATTTTGGGCCCCATGAAGGTATATCATATTGGAGTCCCAACCCAGACCAATCCAATTGTGTTCCAATTTTTTTAGGATTCATCCTGGGGTTAGTGGCCTAAACAAACAGTTTATCAGTTGTACCTTTTGTTTGGGTGGGAAACAAAGGTAGTACTGCAGGTATATTCACATGTGTGCAGGAGCAGACCGACCGCTGAACCTGAGAGTGTCCGGCCAGAGGGCGGCCATAACGGATGGGGACACGCCTCTGGGCAAGCAGCTGGCCAATGAGCTCAAGAGGCATCACTTCAGCAGTGAGGGCAAGGCGGTGCTCACAGGTCAGCCTCTATTCCTGCTTCACACACACACACACACACACACAATCACAACATGACGACCTTAACGCCTAACCCAGCCCTAACCTTTAGTTTTTTGCTTGCACAGATCTTTGTGGGGACCTGAAAAATGTCAACAAAACTCCACAATGTCAAAAGAACTGGTTTCTATTACAATGTGGGGGGCATGTAGTCCCCACAGTGTAGTATAAACATAATACACACACACACACGCACACGCATACACTTGCACGTGTTCAGGGTGGGTCAGAAATCCCCAGTTGCTCAGAAAATCCCAGCATTGCCTTAACCACCCCCCCTCCACTGGTATTTATATATGGGAGAGAGGCCTTCCATTCTCATAGGGGGCAGCACATTACTACATACTGTCTTACATTATTACATTACATTTACTTTTGGATTTCAGAAAACGGCACTGACTTCTCACAGCAAGTTCTCAACCTCTCCGATAAGAAGACCATCAAGTCAGAGCCAGAAGACTCCAGATAGCGGCTCTCCCCTCGAGGCTGCCCCACCCCTCCAAGCTCCCCCTGGCCCACACCTGACCCCCGGCTGCGGCCCGTTCAGTCCGTCTGTCAGCGAAAAACTGAACAAGCCCAGCTACAGCAGAGCCTTAACGACCGACGGTGCCTCAAAGAGGAGAAGTGTGTTCATTCTCTATTGTCGTTTTCCGTTTGTTTTTTTCCGAAGCGCCTCGAACCCTTAGCTCTCGGGGAGGTTCCAGGGCCCGTGCTCCTGCCGATGGGACTACTTTTGGGGGGGCCTTCGACTGGCCCTCCCCCACCTCCCCCCCCCCGGTCTCATGACACGGGACCGCGGTGGTGTTGTTTGTACATATGATGTTCCACTAGAAAACTGTACATGATGTTATTTAATAATGTGCTCTGTATAGAAGCAGTACGTTTGTCCCTCGAACCCGGGGCTGACGGTGTTTGTGTGCCTGTTACGTGTGTCTGCTTGCCCTGCTGCACACAGCGCCCCTTCATGTGCACATGCAGAGACACCGGTTATTCCGATTTGTTAGGAAAGACAGTTATTGGCCTACAAAGACTGAGGGGCCCCAAGGAGATGCCTTCTAGTGGCACATTTAAGGTCACACAGACTTATGTGTTTTTCTGATGAAAGCTCTTCTGCAACCACGAGTACATTCAGTGTTTAAGTTGAGGTCACCGTTTCGATCCAGTGGCGGAAATGAAAGCGTCTGAAATGAAGGCTGACCGATGCTGATCATGTGACCAGCACGGCCCAGTGGTGACCCCTCAGTTCTGTGGCCTCCTAGAATAAGCACAACACACATCTCATCCCGATGTCTGTGTCCTTTACAGGAAGGAAGGTATCTTGATTAAGGGGAAATGTGATTTTTACAAAATCACATTGTTTTACTTACTGTTTTACTCATTTCTTTGGAAGGGGTCAGTTTTCTGAATTAATATGTACATAATCTGAAAATAACAGTACAACTGGATCAGTGAAGCAGGATTTTGTTATTTGCTCATTCCAACTAGTATTTACTGCATTGATTCTGATTCCAGTAGTATGTTTATGTTACTAGAGCAATACCAAATAGTTGTTGTGGAGAAAACTCAGTGAATGTTTCTGGTTGTCTTACCACTTAGATTGTTCTCATAACTATAGTTCTGTGTTGACTAGTGTAGTCATAGTCTTAGTTTGACTTATCTGCTAGTTTACCTGTGACTGATATGCACCGTTTTTTAAAAATCATTATTTAAAAGCCAATGTTTGTGCTGTTAGAGTAAGCATAAAAGAGTTCAGTGTTTTTTGTGAGTACATCACTTTTAGAGTCATCTTAGTGGTTCAGTGAGTGATATGATATAGTCGTAGAGGACCCAGTTTCTCAGTAACCTCGAGGGTTGTCGTGGAGCGTATTTTCAGGTTTCCCGCCTCACGTCACTTTCAATTGGAGCTTCTCAGCGTCTTTGTGCATTTATTTAAACGGCCATCGATACCTCCTTCCCTCAGTTGCTCCGAATGTTGTGTGCAGTAGTCACTTCGGAGCCGGTTTCGGGAAAATATCACAATTGTGTGACGATTTTTTTCAAGTTGTGTACAAATAGCAAACACTTCTTTTGAGTATGCAAATCTTTTCACTTCTTAAGTGCCATTTTGGGGGTGAGTCAAGGGGAAGAGATGCTGAATGAAAAGGAAAAAGCTCAGAATATGACCTGAGAAGTTATTTTGAAGACATTGGTGTGTCACCTGCTACGATATTTAGCTGAGCCCCAATGTGCTTTTTCATTCTGATTTTGCCTAATGTTTCTTAGCTAACAAAACAGTAAGAGAGTAAATATTTCTCTATAAAAATAGCCACCCCTGCAATTTACTGGTGGGTAAAATTATCCTCTGAGCATCCTGATAAAACGTTAAACTTATCATTTATCATAAAACTAGATCAGATTAGATCACGGCATATTTTAAGCCTACAGTAACTTACTGATTTGAAGTACTGAGGTGTTTATTGTATGAATAACATATTTGGCTAGTTTCGATCACACTCCTTCAGATACAAGACTTTGAAATGTTTGAAAACCCTCAAGTCATAAACAAAACCTTTGGAGTAGTTTAATAGAGAAAAAAAAAACATCCTTGTGTTTCCACAAACGATGCTAGATGCTTGAGATAAATCTCATGTAACATGTAGCCTGAAGTGACTTCCCTAAAGATTATACATCACTCTTTAGGCTGAAAGAAAGGTGATTAAGATAACACACTCTTTGTGTTTAAAACGTGGAACAAGCAATAGCAAGTTAAAAAATAAATCTCTCCTGAAAGAACCGTAAGCAATATGGGCAAGGATGTTCCCACAGCCCCTTACATTGTTGCGTCTTTCTTACTGTCCTCTGCCACCTTTGATACGGTTTTGTTTTTTCATCTCGCTTCAAAGTGTTTTTTGTTCTCTGTTGGAAAGCGATGAAAGCTGAACTGTAGGATAGTATAGTGTTTGTCGTTTGTAGAATTCCTATCTGTACTCGTCACTGTTATGCATATGTTGTTTTGTAAACACTAATATATTTAATTTGATATACAACATATGAACATTAAACTATATTTTTTTGAGATCTGATGGTGAGTTGCTTTTTTGTGTTCTTTTGAAGTTCTTTTCATGCCAATTCATGCGATAGATATGCAGGAGGCGGTGAAAATAATGGAAAGGCCTTCGTGAAAAAAGACTTTAACTCTGAAGCGACTAAATCACAGCTAGGAAAATAGCTATGAATGGGAGTCACTGCACATGTGGCTGAATCCCAGTTAGCAGTATGTGTTTCAGCCACAAAAGAGGCCTCACCACTGGCATGAGGATTAGCGATGGGTAACAGTCTCAAATACGCCAACCGCTCAGTGCCCAAATTGCAGGTACAGTACATTAAAATGGCAAAATGATTGAATATGTCAAGGGGAAGAGTATGGTAAATAATGACAGCACGTGGCAGACAAGGACAGCCTGCCTTGGCAAAGGGAACCAGAGGATACGGGCAAGAGCAGACTGGCAGGGACGGGGCAACAGGACACAGCTCACAGACATGACCTTGAAAATGACCTATAACCTGGTGTAACGGGTTGAAAGGCTGAAGTCCTGGGGCAGGTGGATGAGTATTGCGCTCTGCTTTTAGTAACGATGGGTTTCCATTCGGAGAAATCCGAAGGATGCCTTTAACCCACCAGCACCTTCTGTTGGAACTGGCACCCATCTTGGTCTTTAGGATGGTTGGTTGCTTTGCATGGGCCTAAAATTCCCAATGAACGTTAGGAAAAAATCACAGAAGCTGGTATTCCCTCATGATGTACTCGTATTCCAAGATGACAAGACCCCTCAAACATCCTACTAAAATTAAAGAGTGGTTTCACGGATGCCAAGATTAAGTAGAACGTCTCCAGCTTCCCAAATGATCAGATATACTGTAAACGTCGGTGAACCTTTGTGGGATTTTCTGGAGCCCAGAGTGTGAAGTTGATTTTTTACCTCCTCTTACATTCCTCGAAGAACTGGAGGCGTTTCTTCTTGAGGAACGATCTGATAACCCCCAAGACAATGCAAAAACAATGCAAAAGCTAATTTGACAGGGAAGCTGCAGATGCACTACTGTCAACATTCTCCATGAAATCCCAGCACACAAAAGGCCGTCACATGAGGTTGATTCTGTAACAGATAAGTGAGGTTCACTGTGGGTTCGTGTAATAAGTCAGCAACTTGTCGATGCCCTGTACTCCTCACCATCAACGCATAAAATCTAACCTGCCAACATAATTTCTGAGAAACTGGATGGGGAAAAGTATCTCTCTTTCTGTTTCTGAAACTCCTTTGATCTGCTCTGATAGTAGCTGGTGGAAAACTCAAAGATTCGAAGAAAGTATACATTATTTGTGTGTGTGTGTGTGTGGGCCCTCTGAGCCTTGCCTACAGAGATGTGTTTGAAGGTCTGCGCGGCCCTGAAGGGTTAGGCTTAGCTGCAGATGGAAGAGTTCCCCAGCTCGGTAACATCCTTGCTGACGAAGGACAACCGTTCTCATTTGAATAGCGGGAAATTCTGTGGTGGATCTGCTGGTGCACGCGCGATGGGACAAACATCTCGGGTCACGCCACAGCACCCCATTCTCATAGCATCCTGTGCACAGGCACGACTGGGCAAAGGAGAGGCGACCCTCACGGACAGACCCTGCTGCCTGACCCAGCGTTTAGTTCAGCTTGAGGCTACTTCACCTGGAGCTTCAGCTTTGAAATGCTGGGCGGGTCACAAGGTTACACAAAGGGGGGGACCAGAGGCGGCTGGTCCATAGAGATAGAGGAGGTAGAACGAAACAAGTAGCTTTGGTGTGAAATAACTGAAATTACTAAAACTTTATTGTCATTTAAAAACATTTTCTCTTTTCTCTGGAAAGATTCTCTATTGTAATTCTGTGAAATGTATTATATTACATTATATATAAGATGCCACTGGGTGAGTCTGACCCTTTGTAGTTTTGCCATGAAACCGGGCAAGATTCTTGACTTCTTCCACTGCAAAACCAGTATTTTTATTTATGAAATTATAACAAAGTGCATGCCTTGTGATGGATTGCTGCCCTGTCCTGTGTTATTCCCTGCCTTGCACCTGTTGCTTGCAGGATAGGTTCTGGAACCTTACATTCTGCATAGAACGAGTGGGTTTGGAAAATGAATGTATTGAAATGAAAACAAAGGAAATTATAATAAAAAATACAAACCCTGCAATGAAGATGCATCCTATTGGGGTGGGGGAGGGGCACTTAATGTGGCCTTCGGGGGACTGGGGTATGATCCATCTTGTTACGCTTTACATTAATGTGCACAGGGGGCATTAATCAAGCCTTACTGCAAAGTTCCGTTTTGTTCAGGCTCTTATCTCTTTCCAGAAGCTCTACGATAATGAAGTTCATTATAGACACAAGCTGAAATGTGCAGATTCAAGACTACAGCGCCTACAGGAAATGGACACCCCTCCACCAACACCCCCCGCCCCCCAGACTTTAACATTTTATTGTGGTACAACCTGAACTTTTCATGCATTTAATTGGGATTTTTTTCCACTGATCCACACAACCCACTCAACACTTTCCAGAGTTGAGAGAAGTGTTACTGTGAAACAGCAGTTAATGAAAAAATAAACAGATGAACTTCATTAGCTTGATAGCATCTCATCCCACTAAGTAAAGACTTTATAGACCCACATTTGGCAGAAATGACGAGTGATGAGTCGGCCCTCCACTTCTAGATGGATTAATAGTCAAACACATTCTCGGGGTGAAATTCTCCATGCTTTGACATGTTAATTAGGCATCATTTGTTAACAGAAACCTGGTGGCATGATGCCTCTGGAGCCATTGCCTCGTACCTGCAGCACTGGGGGGTTCACGTCCTGCCCCCCCAGCCCTGCCTGTGTGGAGTCTGCATGTTGTTCCTATGCGGGTTTCTCCTGCTGTTCAGAAACGTCGTTGGTTGAGTTTGTAACCCCAACAGGCACTTGTATGACTGTGCGTGTGCCCTGTGGTGGCCTAGTCTCCCACCCAGCATGCCCACTGGCTATGCCCACTGGCATCCTGGGATGGGCGACAGACCATTTATGCTGGATGAATGATTATGGAAGATGAGCCAAATATTTAAGATTGGTACAGATGTTCATCAGCATTCAAGTCGGGGCTTAGACTGTAGGACAGAGGTTCTATTTTCATGGAGCCCAAAGTGTGTTTGGCTGTGAGTTTTGCGTCAGCGTCCTGCTCAAACACAACAATGATGTATCAGATTGTTTATCAGCCCTTTGAGGATAAATTAACCCTCACCTATTCTTGTAGGAATACACAAATGAATACCTAAGAACTTTGTTGAAGATTCAATGGGAAACCATAACATTTGGTTGTAGTGTTTTAAGTCACCCAGCTGCTTTTCAGCAATGAAGAGAGTAGTTATATTGATCAAATCCCACCATTTCATGTTTTAGGTTTTGAAAATTAAAGTTTTAATGAACATTCCCTGTACTCGTTGAAGTTCTTTTCAGGTTAAAGCCAAATTGCATCGCATTGCACCCTAACCATACTGATGCTTCAGATAATCAGTTTCCATTTATTTCTTATCCGGCTCAATAAGCTGGTAACACAAGCTCTTAAACGAGCACTGAAAGCCTCACAATATATTGAAGTTTGATTTACTCATTTGTTTGTTCGTCTTACCCAGAATTCTCATATCCACTTAATTCCAAAGAGCCAGATCCTGAGGCCAAAATACAGGACGGGCACCAGATTCTCTGGAGGGGATTTCTGACAGTTCCAGAAACTGACTTAGAGAAACTGACTTGCTTCCTTCCTAATTAAAATAGCAATAAAAAAAGTCTGCAACTCTTTGCCATTTGCCCAGCCTTAGGGTGGTAGGGGGGTGGTCATACTTGCCCCAGTCCCCATGGATTCAGTTCTGATTTCAAATCCCCAGACTGCCCAACGTCCTCTTCCTGACCGGAGGAAAGGCTTCTGGCCGTACCTGAATCCATCTGCCATTTGGTGAAGCTGATTTTCCCCTTTTGCAAAATCAGAGCATATCATCAGAATTTTACATTGGGTCAGCATGTGTGTCATTTCATGAGTGGTACACATCTCCTTTGATGCAAGCATGAGGTTGTGACCTATGATGAAGATACGGAGACAGATTGACCTCGAGGGCTTTAAAACCCTCAGCCTTTCTGTAGTCATTAGCATATGCATCATATTTGCACATTCTGAAAGTCTATAATGACTCATATTTACGCACTTCTTTCCTTTTTTCTGCCCTCCGCGCGCTCTCCTGCAGTCTCACATGTGCACCGGCTGCCTTTTTGCCCAAAAGAGTCCTGATAAGAGCCCCGCTAACGCCCACAGCGGCCTCGCTCCTACATAACGGCCACGTCGGGGATGTCGCAGATAGGTCGCCACGGCGAGAAGGACCGTGGGCAGAATCGGAGGCGGTGGGAGGGGAGCTACCGCTAAGCCGTGGGGAACTGAACCAACGTCCTCGGCGTCATTCTAGTTTAACCGACTGCGTTTGAGGAACCGTGGGCGGCGGTAAATGATCTTTTCATGCTTTACTGTGGGATGGAGCACTCGCGCTCCTCTAATCCGCGATGCGCTTAAAGTCAGCCTCACTTCTCTGCTCTGCGCTCCGGGAATCTGTCCGCGGATGCGCGCACTTTTGAAGCATCGCCGACTTTTATCATTCACGGCCTTTAAGTATAAATCCGAGCAGAAATGTGTCACCTCGCTTCCAGATGAGGCAAAGTTTCTGCATATTTGAAGTATTTCATAAGAGTATTCTGGGATTTGTGTAGGCGTGCAGGTGGGATGATTGAACTGTTTTAGATATTTTATTTATGCAGAAGATACTCATTATTCATGCAGTATATAGTTTTCAATTGGAACAATGCATAATTGAAATTTATAGTATATGTAAGTCAAGTGCGCCACACAATTCAGAATAGGTCTTTCTACGTTAACATTTTTAATATTACATTTTGTTTAAGATAATATATAATAATGCATATTTAAGCACATAATTAATTACTACACATCGTTGTCTAACGGCAATATTCATACTGTATTGGTTCTACTTATTGAGAATGATGCAGTTATAAAGACGTGGCAGGCCGTACCGTCTGTTAATGCAGCTGATTGTTTGTTTAATGTGGTACACTAGACGGGGGAGGCCGCCCTATGGTGAAAAATTTAAATTATAACTGGAAACTTTTACTGAGTCTCGGCTACGGAGACCATCGATCAGTTCAGAGGATTAATAGCAATTCCGTAGCAATATGTGATAAGACAATTGTGCTAAATGGGACCCGTGTGCTTTTGCACGTTTTTTTCTAATGAATAAATTTATGGGATTGTATAGTGAACTGCTTTTTATTTAATCTCTCAACATAAATAATATTACGCCTACGTAATAGGTGATGTTGAACCTGACAGTCGTAGTAGTCTTCCTTTGGAAACTTTTTTTTTGAAGAATATGTCTTGTACACTAATTAAATCGGAAAGTCAAAGTGAACTTTACTGTCATCTTACCATATACCAGTATGCAGAGAGACGAAAAAGCGAAGCTCAGGGTGCACAATGTGCTCGTAGCGCAAATAAGACATGACACTGCGCGCAGATAGTCAGGACGTACAGTGCAATAGTAATACAGCAGTAATAGTAATAGGAATAGTAATACATAATACTGAAAATACTAATTCCGTTGATATAGGCCCTAGATCCATTTGTTTTATGATTAAATTGCTGTGCGGCGGGGATGGCTGCCTGTTTTGTAATGGCTGACAGGGCAAACTACTTCAGTTATGAACTGAACAACAGTCAATAACAATAGCGGTACGATTAATAACTATATTAGTAGGATAATTATCGTTATGGAGTAAGGAATGTGTTATTGAAAACAGTACAGTGAATTTCAAAATCGGTGATAATTATAAACAATCAAATTAATTTTACTTAATTGGAAAATAACTTAAAATATTTGTAGAAGTATAGTATGTAATGCTCAACATTTTTCTGTCTGGTACATTTCTCAGAAAAACGTAATGCATACCTAAAATGTACCACTAAGTGGCAGTATTTTACTACATATACACTTCTGTACAGGAAATGACGCCCTGTAAAGGAAAATACATGTTTAAGTAGTTTACCTCATGAAAAAAAAGATCTTTACTAGCAAATCTTTGGTCAATCAACGAAAACAAAATCTATTTTAGCATACAAGGAAAACAACTACCAACGCAGTCATTTTATTTGTTGCTGTTGTTGTTGTTGTTGTTGTTGTTGAATATGGAATGGTGTGCAGAATAGTTGCTGTGTACATGTAAACACGGGTTTCAAAGCACCAGCTGACATACGTCACGAGGCGCATATCACATGATCAATAACAGAAGAAAGGTATATTAAGTGTGGCCTAATATTTATGAAGAAGGCACAATTATTCTTTAATATTTAAGGTACTTTTTAACGTTGTAGTATTCAAGATTATGAAAGATGTCTAATATTCAGGGTTGTGAAACTGAACAGAAGAGGTATTTGAGCAGAAAGGTGTATAAAGAGCTTGTGATTACGCAGTATAAATCATAGTATGAATGTAAGAATGTGGAAATGAATGTTTGCTGTCCCCAAAACCTACAAAAAACACGCCTCGTGACCTATCCTCAGCTACACTGATGACAATAAGTAAATGACTCAGAGCAACCTGGGTGCTGAAGGTTATGTGTGACATTCACAAATCCACATTGTCATGCCCTGCTCATCAGATCTTCCCGTGTGCCATGCTCCCTAGCTACCTCGTGTGGAATCCCCGTGTTATCAGCTGTTTTCCGTTGTAGTTGATTAGTCCAATGTATTTAAGTCCGCGTCAAAGCACGTTTCCCCAGTCCTGTCATTAAAGTTGCATGTTTGAGTGTTCTTTGTAGAGTTGATTCCTAATAAATCCCTCGTTCTCCGATTCTCCGTCTCCCTGCTCCTGCTTCCCCGGTCCATGTTGTGACACCATATGTTTTATATATGAAAGGTGATCGGAAAATGCACTGATTCTATAAAGTGAATTTATACACCCCATTCTTACTTGGGGCATATAAATTCACTTTATAGATTCAGTGCATTTTCCGACCGTCTAATCCCTTGAACCCTTCAGTAGATGCATTGAACCACCATAACCTAATTAAAACAATACAAATTATTTCATGTATCACAGTAATCTTCAGACTGATTGATGTAAGGTGCAGCTATTTATATATTATAAGATGCATCTCTTTTGGATAGTTTTGAAGTGGCTCTACCATCGAAGTAACTCTGAAAGGGCGGGGCTTTCTCTATGGATTACCGGAGCTATGGTGACTAGGATATCAAGAGGATTACAGGAAAGCCTTTACGCTTAAGATTCAGTACCGAGCCTGCAGTTTATGTGTCATGCTGTGCGTGACATACGTGACCTCTAGAGTGAAGATATTCAGCACCTGTGTTGGTGGCCACTGTACCGCCTGATGGCAGGATGTGATGGGCGGACCAGAAATAACTGGAGTCAGCTAACCCAGGTCCTTAAAGTAATGATGCTTTTAATTGGCATCATTATCTGTCCACACAGCTCCTGCATTTATTACAAAATAAACTTCATTTTTTAGCAGCAACCAAATTGGAATCCGGGTGGAAGCTCACCTAAATTAGATAATTTCCTGTGCTGTTCCTCGATTTTCTATTTAAAATCCATTTTAGAGAATTTCATTGGGATGTGTCGATAATTATCTGGCTACAAACAAAGCTTACGTGGGTGACCAGTTTCTCTATAAATACCCCTATTTTTTTCTATCATTGCGTCAAATTTCATGCTGGCAAAACATATCTTTCGCCCCGAGAATAACTGGCTGAGATATGTGGGTTGTACTTACAGAATCAGAACTGGCTTGAGTTACATAAACTTTCCTCTTTGGAGTTGCCCAAGCTGACATGAATAAGAACAGCAAGTGAGAGGCCTGCTACTGAAATTGCGTTTGTTGAGTCCTCGTTGCCATTCCCACTTTTCCAGGTACTTTCCAGATAACACTATCAGATGTATATTGAGTCTTGCTTAATTGTCTTGAAAAATAAGGGGGAAGTAAAGAGTTAATTCCAAGTTGAAAAGACCTCTTGTTTTGGCCGGCACTGGAAGTCAGATGGAACCAAAAATTAGATATTTGGGGAAGTAGAACTTCCCAGAGCATGACTCACCACTAAAGTGCCTCATTACCATGGGCAGAAAATGCACGGCTAGTATTGATTGTCTTCCAGGAAAATTCTATTCCTCTGTAAATCCCAGCCTTGTATAAGTCTTTTACTGGGGAACTGCGAAGGTTTTATCTAATGCATAACTGATTATTTTTATCTAAACTATGACAGCTGTAATCGTCGTACTGAGAAGTGGTAGGTTTGCCACGTGGAGATCTGCTAAGAGCAATCCATGTTCAGCACAGAAAATGGCTACAATAACACCGTAAGTGAGTGACCTGCAGTCATTCTACTGTTAGTGGAGTGTAACTCTGCGGCATTTCACTAACTTCCTTGCCCAGAAGTGCCTCTGTGACTCATAGCCTGAACAAAGGATGAAAAAAAAATATTCCAAAAAAGAAGGAGAAAAAAAATCTAGTTAGTTTTCCCATGTATCAATTGGACAGTCCCTGAAGCTTTGCAACCAACGTGTTTTCCTGTAGGTTTTTACGGAACAAGGATCTGAAACAGCACAGGCTGATCCAAAGGTGTACGTGAGATCACATCGTTACTCTTTCTCATTCATTTTACCTGCCACGAGGGACATTTCAAATCTGCAAATTCCCCACTACCTTATACAGGCTCTATGCTCAGTGGCTCTTTGCTGGATAAGAGACATGTATGATAGAGGAGGGATGGGAATCTAATGTCTTTTCTTAACTTACATGTAAATTTATGCAGCTCAAATTTATGCAAGTTCACGAATATTACATAGCAGCGGTTCCTGGGTGTGACACAGACGTAATTGCTTACTGAGTTTGCAGAGAGACTGCACTAGTGTGCGTGCGTGCGTGTGCGTGTTTTATTTTGAAATTAGATAAAACTCATAAATGGTTGTATCCGATTGTCCGATGTGTACATATATATATATATATATATATATATATATATATATATGCATGACTCTTTTTAAACACATGAAACAGATCAATATAAAGTTATATTGAAACTGAAATTTTACATGTTTCACTATCTTATGTTTCCATTTAGCATTTAGCTAAGGAATAGCATGGCTCAGAATTTTGGATATAAGACTAGTGTAATAGCTTAAAAGCCTATTATATACCACAGCTTTCATTATAGGAATTGGGCAGCTCCACGTGTTTATCGGCCCCGTCTGATGTCCTTCACTATCCTGAATGCCTTTCGTCTCGAAGGGGAGCAATTTCGCTACCGCTATCAAGGGAAGACATTGGCTGAGAGATATGACGCAAGGACAAAAGATGACGGACGGGGAAATAAGCCAATCACGGTGCCAATATATTATACCGGTAACGGCATTTCCACCAATTGAATTCAGCGAAGGGATGTGTGTGAGCATTTTGTCTGCTGAACTGCGGCGATGCATCATTGAACAAGTCATTGCGCACGTTGCGTGTGAGGAGTTTGTACGTTACGGGGATTGTTGAGAAACGGTATTAAAATTTTTATATCTCGGAATTATTTTTTGACGAGGACGTTTCCATCAAATCAGCTTGAACGGATTGAAATGTTACAGTTTAGGTCCTCGGTAGTGTTGAAGGAGTTGTTTCGTTCCAGCCTCAAGCGTCCATTGACAAGTATTAGCAGAAATAAGGCGTCATCACCCGTCTTCTACAGCTTCAGTACCGCTTGTCCCGATGTCAATGTGGTATCAAAAGTGAAGTCCTTCCATGCAGGAAGACACCGGCCATGGCTGCGCCCCCCAGCCGGAGTCCGAGCGCTGTGCACGAAGACCGAAGGCGCGGTAGTTGCCGGTGATGGAGGCAGCGGTGAGCCGTCGGGCGAGAAGTGAGTCACTCCATCTATATATTTAAGGTGTTGGGTATAGACCACGATAACGGCGGACGAAATAATTAACAGTTATTAAGTATAAGTGTTTTCGATTAAATAGAATTCGTTCTGATATTAAATTATAATAAGAATCCTAAAGCTTTAGTGTATGACGTCAATTTCAAGCGAAACTGAATAATTAAAATAAATATATATGAGTATATGTAACACACGGAAATTCGGTTCATGGATACATTTTATATAAATGCTTATATGTAGGACACGGAAACAGTTTATGGATACAATGTTGCATACAGATTGTAGGTAGAGTATTTTTTTTATTTTAAATCGTATTTTCCATACTCGAAAGCTCCGTTTAGTGATGATAATACAATATAATCAATTTATTAACAATATTCAAACGACTGACTTATAGGGAGCAGGCTATAGTTACATGCAAACGGCCAGTATAACGGCACCCTGGCTTTTCGACTGGTCGTGCTTCTGGAGGGTCTCTTATCAAGTGGCGCATGTCCAAGACAAACTGATTATTTTCACAAGCCTCATTAACATAGACAAGTGGAGATGGTTTTAATGTCTGTAAAGCCTTTATTATTTTGTTTTTATATTGATCTATTTGGGATTTTTGCGTGAGCGATGGCGAGTGCATCGATAGGATGAAGAGTAAGAAAAAAGTAGTAGGTTACAAATATTTTCAGTCCTACGGAGAATGAAAAAGCGTTTCGAAATTAACTGTAAGCACCGCATGCTGGCAGAGGATCGAGTCACTGGCCGCGCTGCACGCTGAACGTTTCAACATCAGTCATTGACTATGCCGGTGCAGTTATTGTATGTACATAGATACGTTCCGAATTACTCTGTAGTGCCGTGTGATGCAACAGTGTACCTCTGAATTTACAAATCACAAACCAACTAAGACTCACTGTGATACACCAAACTTGTACACAAAAACGAATAAAAAGCTTTTTTCAAACATGGCCAAATTGGTGCTAGTAAAAATAATGTGCTTTATTGCCCAGTTTATAGAGTTTGTCAGGCAGAGATTTTGACAGGGAGGAAATGGGATAATTTACTGAGAGCTCGTTGAACAAGTGTCACTGTTTGGGTGAGACAGGGCTGTCAGTGTTAGCATTAGCTGGGAGGGGCCTGGGCTTGGGGTTCTGGTTTTGCATGCATTTAATCCACCGTCCAGCCCCACATTGGGCTGCCCGCCTTTAAACTGGCAAGCCCCCTGAATAAACAGTGTGCTGCATCATAGAAAGCCATTCCAGAAAACTGTTAATATGTGGTTGTTGCCCCTCCCCTGGCTGACGCTGAAGGCGGGGTCAGTCTCTGGGTCATATTCCACCCAGACTGGGCGTCCGGCGAGAGGGACGCATTTAGCCAGTCTTTTTGTGTAATACTAGGACGGGTATCAGCAGGTGCCAGCCAAAAATGCAGAGGAGCATGCTGCTATTGATTCCTCGGATCCTTCCTTGGGTGTCCTGGGCAATTGCCAGAAGATGCAGTTGGATGTTCTTCTTGTCCACAATTGCCATAACAACCGGCAGAGGCTGCATGTTTGCACGTTTTTTATTGTCTGCAGCATCTACGGGTACCTTGCTTGTTTAGACGAGCAGATTATGTGTGACCTACATCCCCCCAAGGGTGTAGGGCTGCGGAGCCTCACTGAATGCTGGGAAAACATAGAAAGCTGGCCAGTGCTCTGCGACGTAGAGCCCCTTTACAACCCCACCACCTATGGCCTAAGATCTCGGTTTGTGTTCATTTGTGAATGGGACGGCGTGGTGCTCAGTGAACCCAGGGTCGGAAGGTCATTGGTTCAGATCCCGTGGTCAGCATAGTGATTTCACAGTTGTGCCCTTGAGCAAGGGCCTTAAATCCTCATTATACAGACACTGTCTGACCCTGCTTTCTCAACTGTATGTCACTTTGGATAAAGGATCTGCTAAATAATACATCTGGGAGTCTTGGACATCAGTATTGAATCTGTTGTGTAGTCATCCCCAGTTACCTGGAGGCCCTGTGATGACGGGAAAGGTTGTGACCTTGAACGTGTCAGTTCTGTAATGCGAAGATGGTGAGGATGCAGTGAGTGTTTGTCTGACGTTGAGAGGATTATTGTGACTGTACTGGTTTTGTGATTAATGTGGCTCTGTGTACCGTGTTCGGATCGTGGCTGAGCCAAGCCAGGATTAATGATAGATTTTGGGAACGGTACGTCAGTGTGAAAATCAGAAGATGAAGGATGCCCAAGGGCGTGATGTGATTGGATGGTGACATGAGAGCTGCCTCCTCTCTTTCCTGAAGGTCGACACGGCAGTATCTATCGAGCTGCAGCCAGCCCTCACATCCCCATGGGATCTCCCTTCCCCCATAACTCCCCATCTGTGCATTGACCCTCTGCCGTCACAAGGCACGTCAGAGCCGCCCCACTCCCAGGACAAATCTCGTCTGGCACACCTGGCCTAGCGTCACGACCACGAGAGGCAAATCCGCTTGGTTTCCATGGTGATCAGCAAAGCAGAGGCCCTCGATTTCAGGTCACTAAACTTTACGTTTTATTAATGGCGAAGCTGGGCTCCTTGGCTGCCTGCATCCTGCGTCCTGCAGGCGATCGCCTCATCGCGGACTCCTGTTTCCGGAAAATTCTCCTGCTGGCAGATGGTGACTGATGGAGCTTCCGCAGGCCTGGGGCTCCTCGTGGCACGGGTTTGGTGTCGTCCAGTACCCTCTCAGCATACCAATACCCCGTGCCAGGTCTGCGGCCGGGCGAAGGAGGCTGTCTTGCACGCCTGTGTGCGCTCAGAGGAACATGCAACAGCCATGAACCCCCCCCCCCCCTCCCCAGGGTCTGTTGTGCAGCAGGAATCCTGAGATTGCCATGGAGACTGGCTTCATTCCACCTGCTGCGTAGCTACAGGGAAGGATCAACAGAGAGCCATCCGAAAGGCATTATAACCGTGATTATTATTACTCTGCATAGCCCGTGCGCTCAGTCCCATGTGATCTTGCCCTTTTAGATAACCGATGACCTTAGGAGGTTAAGTCAAGCCTTGGTCTGTGGCTCAGCAGCTTAGGCTTCTGTTGCTGTGATCGGAAGTTTGCTGGTTCAAATCCCATATTTTGCTGAATAGTCACGTCAAGGATGGATAAATGGCTGACCCTGTGTTCAGACCCTAAACTTTGCTCTCAGCTGTATATGTGTATATGGTCCAGCAGATGTGAAAAGGTGCATTCTGATATACCTGTACTAATGGTGACTAATCGTCATTTCATTCAAGAGGACAGCGTAAGCACTCTGACTCTTAGCTGCCAGGACCCCTCCCCCCCCATAAAAAAGATGAATATGAATGAATATGACCCAGGGGGCCTTACCAAGGCTCTGTCCGCATGTTCTCTGCGGTCAGGGTGTCTTATTACGGGATCCCTCGCCCTCTATCTCGCTGCTTCACTCGCTTGGCGTGTGGCACAGTCCATCCCCTGCCTTCACCTACAGGTGACAGCTGCTGCCCCCCCCAAACCAGCCGCCCTAGGTTTAGTTAGGTGTTTCACCACAGCATCTTCACCCGCGTCAGGCTGGTTGTACCAGTTGAAGCTGCATTTATGCACAAGCACCGTCTCGTCTTTTCACTGTGACTCACAACTTAAGGGCCTAAATGAATTGGCATTTTTGGCTGTTTTTCGACCTCAGTGATTGATCAGCTCTATTTGACTCATTTGATGATCAAGGTATGAAACCTTTTTCGTTGACGAGGGCAGTTAGAGGAGTGGGCGGAGCCTCATTTCTGTCGGCAGGCCCCGGGTGCTGGAACGTGCTGCGTGTGTATGATGCTGGAGATGTTCTGTGCGGCGCAGGGTGGGAAGGGGGCGTGGCGTGAGGATCCAGCCCGGAAGGGTGAGAGACAAATGGAGGGGTCACCCCAAAGACAAGGGCAGGCATATTTAGGAGTGTCGGCGGGAATGTGGAGGCCGAGAGGAGTGTCTGGGCAGGAGGGCGGGGCTGGGGAGGCTCAGGAGACAAAAGAGGGCTCCCGCTGAGGTATAACGAGACTTGAATTTGTTTACCTTCCGGTGTCATGCAGGACCAGTTTCAGAACCACACGCTGCAAGCTGGGACACGAGAAGACAAAATGTTTACACGGACTGAGCCCGATTTCGGGCCCTTAGCTCTCAGAGCTGTAGCACACAGACTGATGGCTGTCTGCTGAAGGCCGGGGACTGGACAGCACAGCCCAGTGGTCCACCTTTATGTCGTTTGTCTGCCTCATACACACACTCGCGAGGTCAGTGGCCCTGTCTGCTTAAAAACGCCTCTCTGCCTTATTTCCCCTCCAGCAGATCAGGGGCTAATGAGGACACCGCTCTTTCTGGGGGGGGGTCGCTTGCGCCGGCACTGTTTTCGCCGATGGTCCCTCGGCGCTGAGTGCTGTGACAGCAGTTCTGAACGAATCCCCCCCCCCCCCCCCACCAAGAACAAACACCTTGCATTTGGCTCTGTTCATCTCCTTGGAAACGCTACCCATCACCCATAAGTGATTTGAATATTATTGACTTGCATCTGGGCCACAGGAGTTTGTCAACCAACCAGACAGGGACGTGCAGAGCAAGCATGGTGTTTATGTTTTTTTTACACCATTTATTTTCTTTTTAGGATTCTTGTATCTATTTAGAAAATAGACAAATGTTAAGTAACAAAGGTCATTGGAGAACTTGTAAGGCTGCAATTGCCAGAATACTGGCAAACATGTTTAGAAGAATATAGACTTCTAGACTTTCCACAGAGAATAATAACTTAATTCCCTTTCATATGGCTGTCTTAAGCACTCCTAAGGATTTATTTCTTTAGTAGATGCTTTTATCCCGAGCGACATGCATTCAGAAGGTACGGCCAGCACTGGCGGTTAAGGACCTTGCTGAAGGGTCAGATGTTAAAACCACTCTTCCAACTATGCGATTGAAACCAGCAACCATCCGATCACGGGCGCGGGGCCTGT